TATCAGAAAATCGAAAATTAGGTACATTTGTGTATGCAAATTAACAAAATTAAAAGACAACAACCAAGTGGGGGGAATGCTACATAAACCATAGATAACTCTTAAATACATACAGAAGTTTTATTAGTCAATACATTTAAAAAATGAATATTTTATAGAAAGATTGGTTAAAGGAATGAAAAGGCTTTGCTGAAGTAGAAATTCAAGCAGCACATAAACATGAAAAAGTGTTTACCTCATCAGGAATAAAAAAAATGCATATTAAAATAGCAGGGATCAATGTTTTAAGTTTTTAAATATGTAAAATAGTTTCATCTTGCTTTCATAGCAAAATGGTAGCAGTGTTCGTCACATTTCCAAAACTATTTGCTTCATTTGGATATAGAAGACTGACAAGAATAATTTCCTTTGGATAAGCCCTCAGAAAAAGTGCTCCATTCTGAGCATTGCTTGATGAGGTGTGAGCATTTTTTGTAGGTGTTGCTTACTGATCATGCATGGTAGCGGAGCTGCTAAATGGGTTCTACAGAGGCATTTGTCCTGCGACACCAATGCTGCAGCGGGACCTTTACTCATTAACACTTACAGTAGACACTGTGCTGCACGCCAGATCCCATTCAAAGAGGCACCATTCCAGCAGGTGCCTGCCTCCTGGGAGATTTCACTTGGCAGAAGATACACCTATTTCATCCAAGGATATGTCCTCTCTCCAGGGACAGCACTGTTCAACAACTAGTTGATTGGGGGTACAAAGTCTGGGACTCTGTACTTCAATGGAGGATAACTCTGCAGAGCTATCCCACTCCAGAACTCTTTCTGGGAGTAGCTGAAAAACTCCACATCTCCCTCTACCCTGGGCTCTTTTCCTTGCTTTCTTATAGGTGTTACTCCTGAGGACTCTCTCCAGTAACCTTGCACAGAAGGATTTATCACAATCTGCTTCTAGGGGATACAATCTAAGACAACTCAGCTTTCTCCAGTGGAAAGCCACCTTGATAGAGAGGGATATTTATTGATAACTCCTATAAGAAGTGCTGGAAATTGAATACTGAGTTACAGGTGATAGAAATGCCAAGAATTACGATGCATGACTTATTCTTTGACAGGTTCAGACAGAAGCTCAACACAACAATTGGATCTTTGCTGATCCAAATGCACACTGTGAACCAGTTGAAATGGCCCCAGAATTTGATGAGAGCGTCCCATTATTTGATGGGCTGCAATTCTTGGACAGCACCTTATTCTACTTAAATATGTGCCGACTGTTCAACATGGTGGAAGTGGATGGCGGTATATTTGAAATCACTTCAACCTGTAGGATTTGCATATCACCATTTACGTGCTCTATTCCAATAAAAATTAGTTTGGCATTTCCTTCATCCAGTGTGACTCCCTTTACTTTCTTGTCATCCAGATTGTTCTTCCCACATAACACAAGCAGATCTCCAATTAAAGCATTTGTCTTCTGCTCCAAAAGAATGGTCACACTGGGGCCCAGTATATTATATTTATAAGTTGTTATTTAGTTTATTATTATACCGGCTTCCTAACTGGTCTTCCCTGCCTCTAGCTTCACTCATTTTGTCTAGTTTTGTACCTACTAGGATCCAATTCCTGAAGTTAAATGTCAGAATGATTCAACATGGCCCAGCAGGCTTTAGGTAAAGCCAAAGGTGAAGGCCTAAACTCAAACCCATCCTGCTTATTCCCCAGAGATTTTTTTTCTTTAGAAATTCTAGTGGAACACTTTTCTAAGTGTTGGTGCAAGCAATTTTTTTTTGTTATACAAGCAAAATATTGATACCACAGAAAAGCAAAATAAAAAAAAATTATCCTTACTTACCCCTACTATAGTCATCACTACCTTTTGATATGTAACTCTCTTGAAATGCCAGCTGGGCAGTGGGGGGCATAATTGACTGACAACTGTGCCTCTGATATTGTGGGTTCTTCCCCACATTGAAAACAAGCTCATGCTCACCCCAGGCTGCTCTAAACCAATGACTGGGCATAATGTGAGTTTTAGTAGGTACTCATTTTTGGGAGGTATGAAACTCCTCTAATAAATAAAAGAAGAGAGAGATTAAGGATGACTAGAATCCCCACAATCCCTTCTGAGGCACACCCCAGTGACCTAAGGAGCTCACACAATGTCCCACCATAGTAAGTGGGAATCTGATGGAAAGAGTCACGAAGCCCTAGAGATGTTTCAATGCTTAGCCAAGGCAGATGTGAGCCCTGGTTGGGAAAACCTAAAGTATGGAATGGGACATCTGGATAGAATCCTTGAGGATGTTGACTCTATAGACCCTTATAGCTTGTGGATGTGGCCAACTCCTCCACAGTAAGAGTGACACTTAACCTAAATGGCAAGGTCAAACCAAGAGTCTAATCACAAGGCAATAGGTGCTCATTCAGGGACTGCTCCCCATCTCCTCTTTGTTATCAGGAAGGGGAATAGCCAGGGTTCAATCCCAGCATCACTCAGTTAGAGATATATTGGGCCTGTTTCAGAGGAGAGAGATTGCATAATGAGGCAGCTGCAAGAATTAGTAAGCATGTACCAGCAGGAGCTGACAGCAATTTTTGATTAAATTCGACTTTTTAAGGGTGCTTGATCAAGATATGCAAGAACATAAGCCAAGATAAATAACAATTTATTGTCTTTGGGAACCTTTTCTAGGGACATGAGATCCTGGTAAGACCCTAGAAGATAGGGTAAACTCAATGCTAGGTGATTCATAGCACCCAGGAGAGAGTCATGATTCATGCACAGTAAGGTAGAAATGTCTGAATTGCCCTAAGAAATGGTAGAGAAAGGAAAGAAGGAGCTGTGGGAAGTGGGCTTGCTGGGATGAATTTATTATGTGAAGGCAGAAGACCAGTCAGAGGCCTGTGTTCTGCCAGCACACGGATGCAAAAATAATGAATGGGGTGCACACAGATGAGGGGGGCACTGGCATCTAGGAAATTCAGAGGAGTCTGTCCTCTGTAGGCTAGGGATGAAGGAAAAAAATCAGTCACCATAAGGCTGGGCTAGATAATATCCAGGGGATAAGAGGATCCCAGAGTAATAGAAACTTGGTGGTGGCTTGAAGCATCAGAAGCCTGTGATTACTGTTAACAGCTGTAAGCAAGCCTGGCCCTCCCTCTCTGTGCTTCCTATTTTGAGATAATGATGCTAGATTCTATATGTGCTTCTGCTATGACATGATGCCATCCATGGACCTCACCAGAGGCCAAACACATGGGGCTGCTTGATATTGTACTCTGAGCCTCCAAAACCATGAGCTAGCTAGACTTCTTCCTTCTTAAAGTAGCATCCCTCCGACATATCTTATGGAATACCAAACTAATATAAGATCCTTAAACTTGAGTTAAAGTATTGGAGAAGACCAGATGGAAGTTGCTGGTGAAGTTGCTCCTTTTCCCAAGTCCAGATAATAAATAAAAACTAATATTTCCCCCAAGGAGGATGATGGTAGAGATAAGTGCTATCATGAAATATTTAAAGGATACAGAATTGGTTATCCCTGTCATATTTTCATTTAATTTGCCAGTGTAGCTTCTTTAGAAATCAGATGGCCCCAGAAGGAGGGCTTAAGATGGAGGCATTATTTGGTGAAGCACCAAGAGAGATGGAGGTGTTATCTGTCCAACTTACTGCTACGGGACTGTCCCTGTAAGCACTTAAAAATAAACCTTGTGCCTTACATGCCACCTTCAGGTACTTTCTTTTGGTCTCTTAGCAACTTATCCCACTGCTCTAACACAACTGGGTTGTAGACAGTACAGAGGTGAACCACGTGGACATCCCACAGAATGCCTCCATTTATTACAACGATGACATCATGTTAAATAGGCATGATAAGCGGGCAGGTGCCTAGCATTCTGGAAACCTTGGTATGGCATATGTACTTCATAGGTTCAGAAAACAGCCCTAGAGAACTGAGGGAACTACTACTTCAGTTTTTAGGATCCAGGGGTCAGGGGTTTGCCAGGATGTTCCCTTCAAAACAAAAGGCAAATTATAAAATACACATAAGCCAGATAAAAGGAAAAAAATCACTTATAAATCCTCTGAAAGAGATACCTAAAATTGTTCATAGCGTTTATGTCCTTTGAATTTTTTTCCTTGTGCAGAGTCTAAATATGATAAATATAGGATCATACTACTCACCACGCTGATATCTTGTTTATTTATCGACGTACTTGTTTATTATCTACTTTCCTTTTTGTCATATAAGCTCTATGAGAGTCAGGTCTTTGTCTTGTTCATTACTAGATAACTGGCACCTAGAATGCAATTCGTGCTCAAGAATGTTATTTTGTGTGTGGAATGAAGTGCACTATATACACTCCTTTGTAGTTAGCTATTTTCAACTAATTTCCAGACACTTCAGGTAGTATTTCATCTTTCTTCATGTGAAAACAGAGTGCCCCCATACTCCAAAGATTGTGTAGCTTCAGAACCAAGAAGCTTGAATCTTTTGTAGCCCTCAAGTCTTTCTCCTTTGGCCAGTACTGCTTTAAATCTTCAGCAAGTACAGCCTTGCTCTAATCATTCTTTCAACAACCCAAATCAGCCAAAGCAAGTAGCAAGATCTGAATAAGTTAACTCACTCCCGGGCAAACCACCCAGCCCAGGGCCACATTCCTCCTCCGACCACACGGGGGCACTATAATGCCATAGTCCGCACAGGGGCAGAGGTTTCCCCCAGGGAGGACGACTCTGGGCAGGAATATTGACTGCCCGGGGTGGGCGGAGAAAAGGTTCTGGCCGAGCCAAGGGCAGGAAGTGAGGAGGCGGGGCTTCTCGGAGGGTTTTGCGCTTGCGCAGAAGTCGGTCCCGGAGGAACCCAGGTTTTCGCCATTGCGAGAGTCTGTGCTCACGGTGATGCCTTTGCCCTCTTCTTTAGTGTTGGGCGGGGCGGAGGGGACGGGGCGCCGAGTGGGAACTGGGGTGGGCAGGGCAAGGAGAGACGCTGGGTAAGAAGGGGACCTGTGAGGTTGCAGCGGGGCTGGGTGGCGAGGCCTGGGGCCCTGGAGAGAGGGCAGGTGCGAGGGCACAGCCTGGTCCTCCCCCGACCGGGATGCCAGGGAGCCAAGTTGCAAGTTGGCACAGCGGCGGTGTTTTCCTGGAAGATCCTCTCCTTCCCTCCCCCCACAGACTGCCCTTCTCATCAGCTGCCCTTAAGTGTCCCTTCCTAACACGGGACTGCGCGCCTCAGCCGAACCCCTTCACCTGTGCAAACCTCTTCTAGCTGCTTAAGGCATCTCAATGTTAGCCCCTCGCTTTTTTCTTCTTTCTGAGGGAGGAAAAAGTTTCCTGCCTATAGTCGACAGTGAAAACCAGAAAACTTCTTGCGTAAATAGTTCTGGAGACTTTTAATAGTTTCTTTCTGAACTTGTCTATGAAATATCACTTTTATTCTATTTAAATGTCACCTATGTGTGTAAAATGGAGCAACAGTTTTACTGTGCCATGCAGTCCTCAGTTGGTCCAGGGACATGAAAATAACTCATTTGAAATTCAGGAGTTGATCAACTATAGTGACTGCGACCAAGGCCTTGGAACCCTAACTAAAAGGGTTTAAGGTTTGTATCAGTCATTCTCTGACAGGGTGAAGGGGGTGCAGTGTGGCTTTTGGAAGCTTAAGAACCCAGACTGCTGCCTTACAATTTTTTTTTTAAACAGACTTCCGTTATGTGTGTACTTTGCTTGAATGATTATTTTAAAGTACTTGTCCTATTTTTGCCAATCTGACAGCTGTTTCCATAGAAACTAGAGAAGAAATAGTCATTTTCAGCGAGAGTTGTTAAAACTGTCTTCCAGTCTTCAGCTGTGAGTGCCAGTGAGTGCTGTACTTGCTCATTCTGAAATGATACTTAAAGAATTAAGAATCTGAAATGTTCTTAGAGGCTCACAATTCAAATTGCTTAATTTTCTCAATCATTAATTTAGTAATCCTAGAAGTCTGCCTGCTATGTTTGTTGACCGGTCACAGTTCTTTGAAGAGGATGTGTCAGTTCCAATTCTTTCTTAGGTGCTGTATTGTCTAGTGATTGGCTCTTTGAAAATGTATAAATAGATTTCTTCCCCCATTCTTTACCCTATTTTAAGGATAAAGCAGGATTACAAAATATCAGGTACTGTTTCTATATAAATGACACTTGATTGTCAGTGATATAAATGGTAATGATTTAAATTATATATGGGTAGTATTTGGGGCTTTTGGCTCTGTTAGTAGAATGCTTAAAACTTTTTACACAAGTTATGAGGGATGAGCAGGAGTTTGCTTGTCATATGAGCAAAGCTAAGCAGTGTGAATAGATGCACATAGGCATAGAGATGAGAGCTTTCTTTTCTGATGGGTACAAGTAAAGCAGAGATTCTGAAATTTAGGGATGGGTGAAGAAAGTTTGGGAAAAGTGCCTGGAGATGTAGTGGGGACAGCATTATGAAGGTTATTGAGCCTATAGAAAATGAATGGAAATAAAGTAGAGTTGGTTGATTTGGAGTTTATAAAAGTAATACATCCTGTAAAAATTTAAACTGCACAGAAATATGTAAGATGGAAATACTAAATCCTTATGACCACCATCCTGCTACTCAAAGCAGTCATTATAAATAGTAATCTTCCTTAAGATTTACTTATTTTTGCATACATTAACATATTTTAATATTACTATTTTTACAAATTGGGTAGGGATTTTTGTCTGTTTTGTTCTCTGTAATATCCTTACCACCCACAATATGTCTGGCATGTAGTAGGAACTCATTAAATATTGAATAAATGAATAAATGAAATGAATAATATAATCCAGAGGTCAAAAACTGAATGAGATTTGTGAATATTTGGTAAAGGTGGTTAAAAAAATTATTTTGGTTGCCAGCATTTTACAATTGACAATTTTTAAGCCTGGATTTCTGCTGGTGGTTTTGAAACATTTGGGAACTTTAAGCTCAAATTCCACTATACTTGTATCTCCTTTAAGTTGGAGGTGAATCTGTGTTCATGTAAGTGTGGCTTTACTGATATTCATCCGCCTGAATCCTACAAACCTGCTGCCTGGTATGATAACCACTAGTCACACACAATATGGCCATTTAACTTTAATTAATTAAAATTAAGCTAGCTAAAAATTCTATTCCTTAGATGTTCCAAGTGCTCAATAACTACATGTAGGGGTTATCATTGGACAGTATAGATGCAGAATATGTCCATCACTGTAGAAAATTCTGTTATAAAATAGTGCTTTAGATATTTCAGTTTGCCTTTCCTGGTATACAGAGTTTTTGCAAGTAGCATTTATTGTAATTATTTCTTAAATTCGCACATTTCTTGGTCATGATGTGGATCTCCATCTTTTTAGTGATTGTCTAATATTTAGCACCATATGATTTTATGTGAATTATGGAACTAAATTCTGTTGTCTAATCTGCATTTTAGAAAAGTTGCCTTGACTGTAGTTTGGGGGATGACCTGGAGTGGAAGAGATGGGGTGAAATGAGGCCAAATGATTAGGGACTATATAGTAATCAATGTTGTAGGATTGCAGAGCCCAGGAACTGGATTGATAGGAGGTGAATTCACAGGACTGATTTAATGTGGGCTTAGGTCTTTTGGATGTTACAGTCGCTGTAGAGATAATCCAGCATTTTCGGGAACTTTTGCAGTGCTGTAAATTGAGAGATTTGCAAAGTATAGAAGGCACATGAAGGTGGTTTCAATAAAGAACATATATAATACTAAAATGTTATCAATTTGTATATAAATGAATGTGTAACTGTTTCATACCATGTAAATGTCTTTGAGATAATTTATTTGCAAGACACTCAATGAAGAGAGGGAATTATTTTAGGAATAAAGTAAAAGCTTATAAAGCTCAATTAAATGTAGAAAGTACTGTAGTAATCACTTAGGAACCCGGAAGTTCTTATTCATTTTTCTGTGTCTCTATCTCTTGCTGGCTCCATGGTCTATCACTTGTCTCCTTTTCACACATGTATTCCATATTCCTTTCTGTATATCCTCCGCAAAGTTTTTGGTTTTCAGCTCTTGCTTGTATATTGCTTTGCATTTCTATAGCACCAACTAAGCCCCCCTTTATTCAAGCCCATGTATTCCTATGTTGAATACTGTCTTACATAAAACTTTTTCTATATCAGATATCCAGTCTTAGCTTGGTGACCAGTGGCAGGGGTCATTAGGGACAAACATGACTCTTTAGGTACATCCCCTAAGTTGAGGTTGTGATTGGGCAAGTGTTTAAAGCTTATCTACCATATTAAACCCTCACATTTGAAGTAAAGGAAGGAAAATGGATTTGTACTGTTTTTGCAGTTTGGTTTCTAGTAGAAGAACTTAAATACACTTTCCCATTTGAAACAATTCTTCAGAATTTTTGTCTCTTTACATCTACCCAGGTGGCATAAAGAATTATAGTTTTCTCGACTAGATTATAACCTCTGTTAGGGCAACGACTTTTTTTTTTTTATGCTGTTTCTATAACTCCTATGCTCCTATGCCTGCTAGACAAACTAAATACATGAGGATGGTCCCATTAAATTATAACAGAACTGAAAATCTCCCATGGCCTCATGACATTGTATATCTTATAATATGTTCCTGGCACAATATGTTACTCACCTGCTTGTTGTGATACTGGTGTAAACAAACCTGCATTGTGGGTCATATAATAGTATAACACCTATAGTATGTACTTTACATAATACTTGACAATAAACGACTATGTTACAGGCTTCTGTATTTACTATACTTTTTATTTTAGAGTACTCCCCTACTTATATTTTAAGAAGATTTGCTGTGAAACAGAATGCTATATTACTCTGGCAGCAGCCTCACACATTTTGTTTATCATGTCCCTCGATTGCCTTGAGAGGCCATGTTGAGTGTTTGACCTATACCATCTAGGTTTGTATAAGTACACTCTATGATGTTTGTACAGTGATGAAATCGCCTAACAATGCATTTCTCAGAATGTATCCTAGTCATTAAGCAATGCATGACTACTATTTTTGAAAATGATTTTCAGGGTTAAATTATTTTACCACTTGACATATTGGTTCAAAAAATAAAAATCCTATAAAACATCTTGTTAAAATGTCAAACTATTATAGATCAGCCTGGACTCTACTAATTAAAAATTGGTAGTAACTCAGAAGGGATTAACTTGGAGTTATTTTTACTTAGCATGAGCTTTATTCACTTTACACATTAATAGTATAAGCTCAGAGTATATAAACTACATACAAAATAAATTTGAATACTTTTCAAATGGTTTAGTATATAGATAATCTTACTTATTAAAACTAGCAGTTCTAAAGCATCTTTTAGATAATGTTTTGTTTTTTTTTTTGAGAGAGAGAGAGAGAGAGAGAATTTTATTTATTTTTTAGTTTTTTCGGCGGACACAACATCTTTGTTTGTATGTGGTGCTGAGGATCGAACCTGGGCCGCACGCATGCCAGGCAAGCACAATACCGCTTGAGCCATATCTCCAGCCCTAGATAATGTTGTATTAGCCAAGGTTGAGTTAGTTTTATATCTCCCCAATTTTTATTATAAAGATTTTAAAACATTCAGAAAAATTGGGGGGAAAAACATTTAAAGAACTCACATAGGGCTGGGTTGTGGCTCAGTAGTAGAGTGCTTGCCTAGCATGTGCAAGGCCCTGGGTTCGATCCTCAGCCCCACATAAAAATAAACAAACAAAATAAAGGTATTGTGTCCAACTATAACTAAAAAAATAAATATTAAGAAAAAAAGAACTCATATAACCATCACAGACACAGTAATTGTTAATATTTACACTATTGGCTGTATGTCTTGTATGTATGTGCATTTGCAGTACAGTACTTCAAGTATCTCTGGAATGAGATATTCACCTACATCACCACAATATCATTACCTAAGAAAATAAGTAATCATTATCTAAAATAACTTAAAAACAAATCCAAATTCAAATTCCTCCACTAGGTCTTTTAAAGCTGATGATTTTTTTCCAAACTGGATGCAATTTGTGCACATTGTATTTGGTTATTGTCTTTTTAGTATCTTTTAAATACTAAAAGATAGATAATTAATATGTAGTGATTTGTACATATGTAAACTGTACAGTATAAGTTCTGACTTGTGGTTATCTGTAAAATCAACACTGTAATCAAGATGATGAACAAATTCATTACTGTTTGCAATGCCTTCCCCTGCCTCTTTTTACCTACCCATCCCCAGGTAATCATTGCTCAGATACTATAGATTACTTTGCATTTTTTTGCAGTGTATATTATAGATCTGGAATCGCAGAGTATTACATATACTTTCCCGGAGGGGTACATATGGTTTCTATCACTTGCTAGTATATAAAAATACAATATTTTTATATATTATTTTTGTATTCTGGTACCTTACTGAACTCGTATCATTTTTTGTTTGGATTTTCGATGTAGATAATCATGTTATCCAGAAGTAAAGACTGTTTTGCTTCCTTATTTTTGGTCTGGATATCTACTCTCCCTCCCTTCTTTCTTTCCCCCTTCTGTCTCTTTCTGACTAGGACCTCTAATGCAGTGTTGAGTAGAAGTGTTGAGAGCTGACATATGTGCCTTGTTCATGATCTTAGGGGGAAAATGTAGTTTTTTTAAATCAATAAATGTACTATGTTTGCTTTCTGTATTGACTGTTTCCTCTCTTATGAGATTGAAGAAGTTTCCTTCTATTCCTAGTTTACTATGAGTTTTTTATTTTGAAATCTGTGATGGATGTTGAATTTTATGAAGTATTTTTTTCTGTGTCTATTGAGATGGTTATGTGGTGTTTCTTTCTCAGTCCATTAATAGGGTGAATTATTTTGATTTATGAATGTGTAACCATTCTGGGATAAATCTTTCTTAATCATGAGGCCACCTTTTTTTTTTTTTTTTTTTTTGGTACCCAGGATTGAACTCAGAGGCACTTGCCCATTGAGTCACATCCCAAGCCCAATTTTTGTATTTTATTTAGAGACAGGGTCACTGAATTGCTTAGCACCTTGCCTTTGCTGAGGCTGGCTTTGAATTTGTGATCTTCCTGTTTCAGCCTCCTGAGGTACTGGGATTATGGGCGTGCACCACCAAGCCTAGCATTAGGCCACCTTTTTATACAATGAGTTAGATTTTCTAAAAATTTTTTAAGAACTTTTGTATCTATGGGCTGGGGATATAGCTGGGTTGGTAGAGTGCTTGCCTCCTATGCACAAAGCTTTGGGTTCAATCCCCAGCACACCCTCCCCCTACCAGCCTTTCCCCCACAAAAGAACTTTTATATCTAGGTTCATGAGGGATATTACTTTATGGTCTGTCTTTAGTGTAGTTGTCTGGCTTTGGTATCAGGCTAATGGTGGTCTTAGGAATGTGTTGCAAATTATTCTTTCCTTTAAATTTACTGACAGCATTTATATAGAATTAATATTAATTCTTTATAGAATTCTTCAGTGAAGCCATTTGGGCCTGAACTCTCTTTGTGGGAAGATTTTTAACTGGACATTCAATTAAAAAGTTAGAGCTCTTTAGGTTATCTGTTTCTTCTTGAGTGAGCTTTGATTGTTTGTGTTTTTCAAGGAATTTATTCATTTCATCTAAGATGTCAAGTTTGACATTTTCTCTTTCATTGGTTTTAATAAATTATGATGTGCCTTGGAGTTGTTTCCTTTGGTTCATTACACTTTGTAGAATTGTGGGTTTATGGTTTTTATCAAGTTTAGGAAATTTTTGGCCATTATTTCTTCAAGAACTTTTCAGCTACCTCCCTTCCTCTGATTGGGAGGATTCTAGCTGTAAGCATGTTAGGCTGTGTGAAGTTATTCCATACTTCATTGATGCCCTATGCAGTTTTTTAAGTCTATTTTGTCTCTTATATGTCTTCAGGTTCACAAGTCTTCGTTTCCACAATGTCTAATAAGGTGTTTAATCCTTTATGTCTTTCATCTTAGACATTATAGTTGTCTTCTTCAGAATTTAAATGTAGGCCCTTTAAAAACTATATTCCATGCCTCTACAGAACACGCTTAAATTTTCCTTTAACTTCTTAAACATGTAAAATATAGTTATAACTCCATGAATATCCTTCTCTACTAATGCTGTCATTTGTATTATTTAGGAGTGACTTCATTTCGATTGATTGATATTTCTCCTAATTATAGATCACATTTCCTGCTTCTTGAGAGCCTAGTAATTTATAATTATAAATTATACCATGTTAAGTATTAGACTTTTTTTTTTTGATTCTTACATCTGTTCTTGAGGTTTTTGTTCTCTATTGGCATGTAGCTGTTTTATAGAAACAGTCTGATCTTTTAGGTATGTCTTGTGTGTGTTAGGATCAGAATAGCTTTCAGTGTTGGACTAATTTTTCTGTATGACTGCCAAACCCTTCTGAGCACTCTACCCAGTTACCATGAATTGTAAGTTTTTCTGCTTCAGTGGGTGGAAACAGACACTGTGCCTGGTGCTGTGTAGCCTTGTGTGTATGTGTGTGTGTGTGTGTGTGTGTGTGTGTGTGTGTGTGTGTGTATGTGTATATATATATAGTGCCCTTTATTCTTTTCAGGTAGTTCTTTGCAAACTTTAGTGGTTTTTGTTTTGTTTTTACATATATGTGCCTACACGACTCAGCTGAATGTGAGAGAGGGCTTCTCTGTAGATCTCCAGAACTCACTCTTTCTGCAGCTCTGTCTTTTCTTATTGTCTGCATTGTAAATTGGGCCTACTGGCACTCCCATCTTCATCTCTTCAGTTTATGACAACCATTGAGCTTCACCTAGATTTCCCTGTCTGTATGGTCACCTGGAAACTCACCAGGTAGTATAGTAAGCTGGGTGAATAAAGGACTCATCTTGTTTGTTTCCCATCTTTCTCCTTTCATTGTCTAATGCTCAATGTGTTGAAATGCACAGTTATTATATTATATAATCTTTTTTTTTTTTTTAGGTGAGAGGGTAAATTTGGTCCCACTTTATTTTAATCCCAGTCAAAAGTCCTAGGATTTTATTTAAAAGAAAGACATTTGTATTTTAAAAGATATATTTTATCAGTTAATTTTTCTATCCTACTGCATCCTTCTTTTCCTATTATTGCCAACTGATAAAATTTTACTAGTGTCTTTTTAATCCTATCTATTCTTACTCCTCAAATAATTTACTATTAAAATAAAAAGTAGATTTCTTCTCAACAAAAGTTAAAAATAAAGTGAAAAAATGCAAGTTTTAAAAGTACATATTGTACAGTAATAGTGTTATACGTGTTCTTCTAGTTTGTATTGGTGAAAGACATTACCATGGGGGTGATGAATAGAAGCCCAAGATAATTTAGGCTGAGATATGGCAAAAGAACTACCATCACACCTGTTTCATAAGTATTATGTTCTTGGTTTGGTGAATAAATTATTTTCCATAAATACTTATCTTTTATTTTTTTGTGTTCCAGATAATTAAGCAAAAGAAAGATGAGCTTCATCTATGGACTGAAGTCTGCTACTAGAAACTGTTTTCTCTCCCAATTTAATTCACTGACCAACTGGAGAAAATGGAATTCACCAGCAGTAACTTTAGTGGGCTGTTGTCAAGTACAAAATCTCCAAATAATTAAGAAGTGTCAGGGTCTTAAATCATTCAGTCAGTGTGACCTGTCAACTTTTCTCCCTGGAAACTTTCATTTCTGTAGGACTTTCAGTAACAAAAGAATAGGATACATCTCAAGTGCCAAAAGTAAGGAAATTTGGATGGTTACTCACAAAGGTACTGCATGGAATGACTCTTTTCCAAGATGGGTGCTTACAAAAAAAGTTGCAGTTGATCCTGCTCTTGGAACCTTGTGTCCACTGAGCTGTTCCTCTGTCAGAGTTTGCAGGAGCTTCCACACTTCTTCACCGGTTCAAACTGCTCCAGTTCCTCTCTTCTTGATCATTCTGAAACCAGTGCAGAAGCTACTTGCAATTATTGTGGGCAGGTAAAATAATTAACAAAGTAACTTTTGTACATTTTGGTGTTCACATTTGTATCAACTTCTATGAAGTTTAATATTGAAAAATGGTACTTTTAAAGAAACCTTGTTTAGTCTTCCCCATACCATATTTAGCTCAAAATTGAGTTTTTATACAGTAGGTCCTACCCAGTTTTGTTATGTGTGATTTAATGCTCTCAAAATAATTTGCTGCATATTAATTTATGGTATAGAAATACAGTCTTGAAAAAGTTATGTATTCATGAGGCCCCTTTTGTTTAAAAAATATTTTTAGTTGTAGATGGACACAATATCTTTTTTTAAATTTTGATATATATGACAACAGAATGCATTATAATTCATATTACACACATAAAGCACAATTTTTCATATCTCTGGTTATACACAAAGTAGAGTCACATTCTTTGTGTCTTTTTACATGTACTTAGGGTAATGATGAGCGTCGCATTCCATCATCTTTCCTATCCCTATGTCCCCTCCCTCCCCCTTTCCCCTTTGCCCTATCTAGAGTTTATTTAATCTCTACCCACCCCCCAAGCATATTATGGATCAGTATCCTTAAATCAGAGAAATCATTCAGCATTTGTTTTTTTGGGATTGGCTAATTTCACTTAGCATTATATTCTTCAGCTTCATCCATTTACCTGCAAATGCCATGATTTTATTCTCTTTTAATGCTGAATAACATTCCATATACCACGTTTTCTTTATCCGCTCATCTACTGAAGGGTATCTAGGTTGGTCTCACAGTTTAGCTATTGTTAATTGAGCTGCTATAAACATCGATGTGGCTGTGTCCCTGTAGCATGCTGTTTTTAAGTTCATTGAGTATGGACTGAGGAGTGGGATAGCTGGGTCAAATGGTGGTTCCATTCCCAGTTTCCCAAGGATTCTCCATACTGTTTTCTATATTGGCTGCACCTATTTGCAGTCCCACCAGCAATGTATGAGTGGACACAATATTTATTTCTATGCTGAGGATTGAACCTAGTGCCTCACATGTGCGAGGCAGATTCTACTACTGAGCTATAGTCCCAGCCCATTTTGTCATGTAAATTTTAAATAGGAAAAAGTGTACCTTTTAAAAAGACTTAAAGAATCAGAAGTATTGACCATAGCTCATGCTATAGTACTTAACATTGCCTTTTTATTTTGTAGAATTTGAGCCAGTGAATCATGAAACTGAAGAGCTTTTCTTTTTTTTTTTTTAAAAAAAGTTTTATTTTTTTAAATACATGACAGTGGAATGCATTGTAATTCTTATTATTCATGTAGAACAATTTTTCATATCTCTGTTTGTATATAAAGTATGTTCACACCAAATCATGTCTTCATACATGTACTTTGGATATTGATGTCCATCATATTCCTCCATCATTGCTAATTCCCTGCCCCCTTTCTTCCCCTTTCACCCCTCTGCCCTATCTAGAGTTTGTCAATTCCTCCCATGCTCCCTCTCCCTACCCAACTATGAGTCAGTCATCTTATATCAGAGAAAACATTCGCCCTTTGTTTTTTTGGGTTTGGATAACTTCACTTAGCATAATCTTCTCCAACTTCATCCATCTACCTGAAAATGCCATGATTTTATTCTCTTTTATTGCTGAGTTAATATTCCATTGTGTATATATGCCATATTTTTTTTATACATTCATCTACTAAAGGGCATTTAGGTTGGTTCTGTTCTTACATAAGAAAGGGCTCATACCTAGTCATGTTAACTTTTAAACCATTAATATCTAATTGTTCTGATTCTAAAATATTTATCTTAGTAGTCCTTTATAAAAATTACCATTTTTGCTTCATATAAATAAATTCTTTTTGCAGTTCTGGGAATTGAACCCGGAGCGCTCAACCACTGATTTATATCCCAACCTCTTTTTATTTTTAGCTTGAGACAGTATCTTGCTAAGTTTCTCAGGTTAGTTTTGATTTTGCAATATTTCTGCTTGACCTCCCATGTACCTGGGATTACAAAAAGTGCTTAAATAGTATATATTTTTTTAAACCCTGGTTTTTCTTATTTCATTGAAATTGAAGAAAGCTCATCTCCTCATAAGCTTTCTTAAATTTGGTAACTACAATGTCCCTTCTAGTCTTCTTTCTTCCTTAACAACAACCCAATTTGCTTTTAATAAAAATAAAAAAGTTCTCTGTAGATTATTGTGTTCTTTATGATTTGGTGTTTGCACTCAGAAAATAAATAGTCATATTGGATCATAGGTTAAGTAACAAACTCTTCCCAGTTTCTTGGGATAATAGCTTTCTAATTTCTCATGTGTTCTCATTCTTTTAAATTTTTTATTTTTAATGATTTTGGTTTTGTTACAACTATCAGTTACGTAAAATTGTCTTTTAAAATGTGTTCCATATACATTTTAATTAAGTAATAATGTCATGTAAATTTTAAATAGAAAATAAGTGTACTTGATTTGTGTTTGATTTACTTATTTGTAGTTTGATTTATGTCTCTTCCGTTAGACCCTTTGTCTAAGGCATTTCATATATGTTATTGTGTTACGCAGCTTTCCATTATGACAAAATACATGAAATAATCAAAGGCTTATTTTGCTCATGATTTCATAGGTTTCAGGCAATTGTCTTTTGGCCTTGTTGCTTTCGTCTTGCGGAGGTACAATGCATCATGGCAGAAGCCTAGAGGCAAAAAGGGAACTAGGAAGGGGCTAGGGTCCCAATATTCCCTTCAAGGGCATGCACTTCATGCCCAACTTCTTCTCACTAGGCCCCTACCTCTCAAAAGTTCCACCATCTCACAGTCCCAGTGGAGCCATAGGCTGTAACAAACTTTTTAACACTTGGACCTTTGGGGGTAATTTGTAAGCTATATTAGTAACTTAACAAAATTATGATAACTTTAAGATTTTTAAAGTAAATTTTTGTTGAGAATGATGTGTACATATTAAATTTTTATTTTGATTTTATTGGTGAACTTATAAAGAAAACTTTTTATCCATTATTGAAAACATTACTTGTTGTCAAATGTTTATTGCCTGGTAGAAATTGGACCTTCTCAGATGTTATCTAGAAAATCTCTCATTTGCTTATTTATAGTGCTTCTGATCTTCTTTTTACCTCTCCTTTCTCCTGTTCTAGAGGGGGATAAAGGAGTTTTTGCTTCTGAACAATATTTATTTCCAAAATTAATGCTGAGGTAGTTTTCCTTATACCTTGCTGAAGCACTGACCAGAACTCTGAGAAGCAGTGGGAAAAATAGTGGTTAAAGGTCTAGATTTGTTGTACCGTAGTTCCTTATATGTTTATTTGGGCAATTTATCCCTATTAAGTGGTTAAATGGTCAGACTCTGGAATGTCATTGCCTTCATTGCCTGGCTTTCCTCTTATTACTCTGTGAACTTGCACAAATTGCTTAATTTCTTTGTGTCTCAATTTTCTGTAACATGGTTGTTAGGAAGATTAAATGAGATGACATCTGTGTAATGATTAAAAAGAGTGCTTTTTGTGTGGCAGATAGTCAATAAATGTTAATTAGGTAGTTGTAGTAAAATAATCAAATAACTCCTCATTTACTATTTGTCCTTAAAATAGCTGAAGAAAAAATTCAAATGAGCATTAGAATTTTTAGCTATATCTCTATATAGTTGATTACTCTTTGATCTTTTAGCTAACAATTTTATACATTAAAAATCCAACTACACTAAGAAAATGATCAGAGATTCAAGTGTTTAATGACATAAAATTCTAGCACATGCATTTGCATTTTGATGATATATGCTAGTACAGTTATAGAACTTTGAACTTTTCTCTTTGCTCTAGGGGCATAAGGAAATGGTGGCAGGCACTTCCTCCTAACAAGAAGGAACTATTTAAAGAGAGTGTCAGGAGGAATAAATGGAAGTTATTCCTTGGTTTCACTGGCTTTGGACTGCTATTTGTAGTGTTTTATTTTACTCACTTGGAAGTGAGCCCAATCACAGGAAGAAGCAAGCTATTATTATTGGGGAAAGAGCATTTCAAACTTCTGTCAGAACTGGAATATGAAGCAGTAAGTAGTAAGAACTGTTTTTCATTAGATTGTTTACGATAATACTCAAAGCAGGAAAGTTTCATATATATGAAAGATGCACTGCTTTTTAGTTGTTGGAATGAAATAAATATCTTTTAGTTGTTGGAATGAAATTAACTTTTTTTTGCAAAAGTCCTGTGAACTTTCACATGTAGTATTCCCACTGTCTACATTGCTTTTTTTCCCCATTCACCCAATAACTCCTTCTCAGCATGTGTTACCTTTACTTTTTCAGGAAAGCCTGTCTTGATTATTCAGACTGGGATAGGCAGGGTGACTAAATCAGGCTCTAGGAGTTATCCTTCATTCACATTGAACTATGAACCTGCTCATTTGTAGTTGTGGCTGGTGCTCGGTGATAGTGGGGTTAGGTCTCTTACTTTTGTCTTCTTTTATCTTATTGTATTTTTGTCTCAAAGAACATACAGGAGGGTAACTTCATTATTTATATAATTATTTACTTGTTAGTTTGTCTCCTTTATTGAACTAATGAACTAAGGTCCATGGGGCCAAGGACCTTGTCTGTTTTGTTTGGTGTTTTATCTTAAAGATTAGCATGTACATGAAGTGTGTTTAGTGTGAATTTATTGAGTGAACACATATGTAGTGAGAATTTTTAATTGAAAGTCAAGTAAAATAAATATATATTTTTTCTAAACATTAGCTTTGGCAATTGTATTTTCTGATGCAAAAAAAAAGGGGGTGGGTGGGTGGGTGAGAATTCTAATTCTTAACTCCTTGAAAAGTATAATAACTCAGATAGTTAAACATTTTGTACCCTAGTGAGCTACTTGGGGATATCAATATTCTGTCTCTAATGCCTAGGGCATACCATGATATGTGCTTAGGTCATGTTGGCTGAATTGATGTCTTTTAACTTCACTTGACCAAACTTTGATATGGCTAGGTCTTTCTTTTTTTTAAGAGAGAGAGAAAGAGAGAGAGAGAGAGAGAGAGAGAGAGAATTTTAATATTTATTTATTAGTTTTCGGCGGACACAACATCTTTGTTTGTATGTGGTGGGATCGAACCCGGGCCGCACGCATGCCAGGCGAGTGCGCTACCACTTGAGCCACATCCCCAGCCCAAGGTCATTTTTTTTTTTTTAATTGCAAATAAGCTGCTGAATTTATCAAAGAAAAGTTTCCATTAAAATAAAAAATAATAATGACTTGTCTCTGTAAAAATTGTTCTTAAGACTAATCTCTTATGAGAGTATATACAGAGACGTGAGATATTTTTTAGAATTTAGCCTAGTAGGCGACAATTTTGAGGAAAGTATTCTGGAAAGATTGAGATGGGCTTTCTATTAGTGCATCTTGTACCATTCATATTGCTAAGAAATTTTTAAAAATTATATATATATGTGCTTCTACATGTGTATATACATATACATATAGCCATAGATACACTTGTCTTTTTTTATTGTTTAATCTACAAATATAATACCTCTGTGATAAAAATTAAAGCAAATGTTCTTTTAGAGATAAAGTATTATAATTACATATAATTGGAACTCCTTCAGATAGGTTCATTGTAGTTTTTTTTGTTTCAGTCAGTTTACATTGATGTATTATGCTTTAAAAATGTTAATTGATATAAAGACTATTTTAATAGTCTTTAGAATATGGATTCTACAAAATATATGTTTTTAGTGAAGCTGAAAAAGAAGGTTGCTCACTTGTTGATTCATATATGAATGACAACTTGGAAGTTAAAAGTAATGTATTTAGAACATCCTTAGTTATCTCAGTATACTTGAAAGGATCTCACATGAATATAGCTTCAGAGAAAGTTCTTGAAACTTGAGGTGGCTAGTTTTGATCAGCATCATATGGAGAAAATTATGTAACCATTAGTTCTGATATTTTAGTAATTCTCTTTCAATTTGTGTGAATAAATCACTTTAAAATGAATAAAACATCTTTTTAAAATTTTATTCTTCATATTAGTGTTGGTATGTGGGGTATTTTTCTAGTGAGTTATAAAATTAACTCTTATGTCTTGCTTTTTTATGTGAAATCTTTGTTTTCTGGGCAGTGTTTTGCTTTCTAAAATACTTAGAAAAATAGAAATAAAATTTAAGCACTTTACTAGCATATAGATTAATAGAATGAAATTTTGATTTCAACACATTTATGTGAAAAATATTCATATTAGAATTTGTTCCATTGTGAGAAACCACTTTGCCTTTCAATGAATAATTCAAATTTGAGAGATTTGAATGTTTAATATATGCAAACTTTTACGTAATTAATACTTAAAATGTTCAACACTAAGTAGTCATGTAACTCTTTATGAAGCAATATAAATGTTTTGTAAAATTCTTTTACAATAAAGAATACTTTCATTTTATTTTTTTAGTGGATGGAAGAATTTAAGAATGATATGCTAACTGAGAAAGACCCTCGATATCTGACTGTTAAAGAAGTGGTACATCATCTAATTGAATGTAATAAGGATATCCCAGGGATCTCTGAGCTCAATTGGGTTATTCATGTGGTTGATTCTCCAGATATAAATGCCTTTGTGCTTCCAGTAAGTAAATGTTTTCAAACACATTTTTATTGCTAAATTTAATGTCCTTATATTTTATGTTGTTCTAATTGCTGATATTATTTTCTTTATTTTGCAGAATGGACAAGTTTTTATTTTCACGGGCCTCTTAAATAGTGTAACTGATACGCATCAACTTTCCTTCCTTCTGGGTCATGAAATAGCACATGCAGTACTTGGGCATGCTGTAAGTACTTGAAGTGAATATTCAGTTGTCAGAATATTGCTGCAAAGGTAGCAGGTTACATCTCTTCAAGAACTGAGTCTTTTCAGTTTTCTGTTTTTAATGATGGAATTTTAGTATTTAGTAATTTCCTTATTCTGTTACCTAAAAAAAATGTGATTGGCTAATTTTGAGATTTTTTTATGATCTTTATACTTGATACTGAATCATTAGTGTTTCTTGTAAATACTATATTTATTACCTTTCTCTTTTGCTAAAAAAGTAATTATTCTCAACCTCTAATTATTTCAAATTAGATTTTAAACTTTCCATAGTTATTAACATACATATAATCTAGTCAGAAAATTAATTATATAAAATGATATTACTATTGAAGTGTGAAAACTAGTTTTCTTTTTGTTCATTCTCAGAGGATAGCTTAGAGCATCTCTGAAAATATCTAGAATGATAGGCCATATATAATTAATGCAAAGTAATAATGATATCTTGTCATCTTACAGTTTACCAAGGTTTTTAATATGTATATTTTCATTCATAACTTTAATACCTCATGAAGTATATATTTATTATCTCTATTTTATATATGAGGACTGGTATTTAAAAAGACTCTAAATAACACAACATGACAAAGTGACTGACTTGGGAATTTAAAATAGGTCTTCTGCTTGCAAGTCCAGCATTTCTTCCTTTTACCACAGTTACCTGTTTGTTGGCAGCACTTTTTAAAATACATTATAGAATTCAGGTTGATTTATGGTCTTTTGATTACACATCTATTTGACTTGGTATGAGTCCAGGAAAATAACATATACTTGTTTTATTCCTTTTTAAATTGCCACTCATTAAAAAATATGAATAGCTCTTTTGTCCACATAATTAGAGAGAAATATATTTTCTTTAATTGAAAACCTGAAAGTAAATAGTGAAAGGATTATGAAATACTAAATCAGAAGTGCAAGTAATGTTAACCTCAAATGGAAACAATAATGTTTATGTTCCTTCTAAAAGTCTTCTTAAATTCTGCCTATTCCTAGAGTAATAAGAAAATAAGATAGGTCAAAGTTGTGCCTTTTCTGAAGTGCAAATAGTAATTTTCTCCCTTATTTCCTCAAAGTTAAAGGAAAATTTAAAAATTGTTTTTTTAAATATGTACAAAAATAAGTCTAAGCAATTGTTAGTGTCATTATATGCACTCTGTCTTCCAATTAATGTTGTCATAATCACAAAAATAAATAAATCTGGCCACTTTAACATTTAAAAGGTTTTACTATTCATTATGTTTTTCTGGAATCTAGTTCAATGTCTCATTCTCATTATATTGTTGTTATCTTGTCAGTGCAAGAACAGTAATTAGATGAGACATAAAATGCAAATAGCACCCTTCATAGAAAATAGTTATTAATACTTCTATTGCAGAGGTCTTTATTATATGAACACATTTTTCTCTTTTGGGAGTCTAATTTTAATTAAATCTAACTTTGTATGATGTTTTCTTTGTTTTACAAATACACAATTTTTTTTTAAATTTCTAGTTTTCTAAAACTGTGTAGTGGTAATCATATTCTTTAGTAATTAATAGCAAGGACTTTCTGTTCTATAATGGCTTCATTATTTTAAGTTTCACTCTTTCATGTTAAAATAATCCTGTACTTGCTTTTCATAGGGCACAGTTCTTATAATGAAGCAAAGTGTGTTTTGTGATGAAAGATGATATTTTTGAAGAATATAGTCCAAGTCATTGCTTTTAGTTTTCAGGCATGTTTCATATGTTCAAGTTAATAACTGCTATGTTATCATTCTCAGCATTCCATTAACATTTACTAATCAACATCAGTAGCAAACAAGAAACAATCCAGTGTATTAAACTTATATTAGACTTTACTATTCAAAACAACTATATTATGTATAACCTTATTTGGTTACTTTTATAGCTAAATACAAAAACTCAACCTAATTCTCTGGTGAGGGATACTAAAATTACAAAATTGATAAATTGTATAAATCAATCATACTTTCCTATATTAGATCATAAAGACCAAAAGACTTTTATTTAAAATAAACTTCCAGTCTTTTTCTGAATTATTCCTTACTTTAACTGCTTCATATGTTAGGTAGTGTTTAGTCTTTATCGAAAAATGTAAGTATAATAAACACATTTATTTTATGTTTAAACAAATTTATGATTGTATTAGAAACTAAAACTTACTGGGTCTGTCTGATTTCTGGTCCTTTCACTAATAAAGGTGTGAATTTGGGCAGTATTTTTAAGGGCCTTCTCCATCTCAGTTTCATTATCTATAAAATAGGAGTAATTTAACCTGTTTCACAGTATTGTGCTATTAATATAAGAAACTGTAGGTTAACAAACCTGTCATTGTCTGACTTGATAGTAAGCAGTCAGTAAGTGCATGACTATGTAAGTAAGGGACAGGAAAAAGAGACTGGGAAGGATATGCACACAGAAGAAAGAGAAGTAAGGGTTTTATTTGTTGAGGACCACTTAAACACATGCAGTTATTTAATGTGATTACACATGATAACTAGAGAATATAAACACACTGTCTCAATTTATTGAATGTAATTTTTCACTTTTTTTTTTTTTATTGTTCTCAGGCGGAAAAGGCTAGCTTGGTTCATTTACTGGATTTCCTTGGTATGATTTTTCTCACAATGATTTGGGCCATTTGTCCACGAGATAGTTTGGCAATTTTGGGCCAGTGGATACAGTCTAAACTGCAGGAGGTAAGTCTGAGATAATAACTTGAATTTATAAGGGTTACTTGCGGATATTTTAATACTGTTGTGAAGCAACAGATACCAGAGATGTTTCCACTTTTAGGGTGGAAATTTGATATTTAATATTTATTTTATTTAATATTTAATTTAACATGGGTATTGAATTTTAGTGTCTTATGTTTACTTATTTTAGGGAATATTCTTATGAGAATTTAAGGAATGCTACATCTCTCAAATAAGTGATGCGTATGGATGGTTTAAAAGGTTTAGGTAATTTTTAGCTAATATCTTTTTTTCACATAGTTGTTGGTCTTACAGAGAGAAAGCATAGTCCATGAACCCTTTCTTTCATTCTGTTATTGTAGTGTACTGACTCCCTTGTCCCCCAGATATTTTTGTTTTGGGGGAAAACTCTTCAAAGAAATCTCTAAACTTTAATGATATAGGGTTGCTAAGCTGCTTTATCACCCTCTCCTGCTCACTCCCATTTAAACTTACATTGCCTCAAAAATATTGAAAGGACAGTCTTACTAGGTATTTGTTAACTTTGGTTCTTAGTGCTTATGTGTAATGATAATCTCAAATGTATTAAGTCTTTCATTTTGTTTAAAAAGCTGCATTACTGAAAGTAGGTCTTGTAATCTTCATAAGTACTTTGTTAACCATGATTAACTATTTTACATTTTTCTTTATTTCTTCTTGTCCTGGGAGGTTTGGTTATTTAGGCACAATCTGTCATTTGTTTATTTAATGTTGTGGAGCACCCATCAGCGTGCCATCTAGGTGTTGTTCAAATCTAATGTTCAGAATTCTCTGAGACAAATTGCTTTTGAGATTCAATAACTAAGGCTTTTATTTAGAGTTCTCCTATCACTTGGCTTCATTTGTATTGAAGTAAAGGTTCTCAAAGGGCAAAAAAGAAGGAATGGTTATTGCTTAGATTATAGGATCTCACATTTTGGACCTTTGTTTCTGTCACTGACCTGCTGGAATGTCAGAGGAGTTCATGTGGTCTTCCCCAACCCATCCATCTATAGATTACTTTTTCTGTGGTGGAATCAGATTTGGTTATAATAAAGATATCTTGTAGCTGTTTCTTGAAATTCTTGACGAAGCCTGCCTTTTCATGGTAATTCTTTAATTCAATAATTAAATTGAAAATAGAAGAGAGATGACTTTTGTTTGAATTCTTTTCCCCTCAAAACTTTTGGTGACACATATTTTTCTCTCTGTAAAGCCCTGCTCACTGTGACTGGGAAGGAGAAAGGAATGCTGATAGTAAAATTGTTAGGGAGTGGGAATTGCCTACATTCATTTGCTGTGGCTATTGAATACTACACTTAATGACAGGATTTCTCAATCTCAGAACTATACTTGTTTGTTGTGGGGAGTTTTCCTGTGCCTTGTAGTTATCAGGGTCTTTTCCTAGTTGTGACAATCAAAAAGTCTGTACTTAACAAATGTCCTTGGGGGATAGAGTCATACCAGATTGAGAATACTAATTTAAAGCATTTAGCACAGTCCTTGTCATAAAGTAAGGACACGGTAAATATGAGCTATTGATTTTATTATTGCTTCATTTAATTCTCTTTGTAAATCTAGGAATTTGGTGCTTGCCGTTATTAGTTCCATTTTACATATGATACTACTGGTTCTCCTTTTAAAGCCAATGTTTTAAATTGGTATTTTATGAGTAGACTCAATGCGACACATGAAGACTGCTCATGAGAGTGAAGAGACTGTGATGTCATTTACCAACCTAAAACAGATATGATTGAGAAGAAAAAAATTCACATCTAATGATCACATACTGTTTTCAGATTGATTATTTTTAGTCATCACAAACATGTTGCTATGTTTGAAAAATCGTTTCCCCAATTAATAGCTCTTTCTCAAAGAAAAAATGCCTATTGATCTGTCCTTTACAAAGTTTTAGTATTTACTGAAAATTAGAATTTAACTGAAAAGCATTCTCATAAATACAAGTAATTGGGAAAATAAAAGTTATAATATCTAATTCTTAAAAAATTGAAGTCAGAAGAAAATTTCATTTTCCTAACAAATTAATACTTAGAAAGGAAAGGGAAATTAAGATAATTTATCAAAGAAACAAAGTTCTGCTATATTGTTAATTTTCTTACTGAAATAAATCTTCTAATAGTATCACTGGTTATTATGGATTTATATTTTTTTAACTTCATTTTAAACTGCAATATCAAAATGTTCTTTGAACATATTAAGAGCTTGCATTAATAAGCTTTCTTAGAGATCCCTCTACTCAGTGGAGATTATAATTGGAAAACAGATATAATGATACTATTGACTGTCCAGAAATTTGTAGGCATGTTTTTTTCTATTTTTCCTTGTTTTTAAAGTATTAATCTGATGGAAGAAATAAAGGTTCCTTTTATGTTTTAAACCATGGTGTTCTTTAAAGATGTAGGAAGTATAGAAATTTTATCCTAGATACTCTCTGAAATTGATTTTTAAAAATTTCATTTTGTTATTCCTTTTGTCAAAAAACAAATTACCTTAATGGAATTTTTCTATCATATTTCTTCTTAGTATATGTTTGATAGACCATACAGTAGAGCACTGGAAGCTGAAGCTGATCAAATTGGACTACAGTTTGCTGCAAAGGTAAAGTGATTATTAGTTGAAAGTAGTGTTCTTCACATAGTAAAAGATAAATGTGTGTTGTCTTAATGTTTGGCATGGGCAGAGATTAAGAATTAAAATATATTAATCCTAAATATTTATCAGATTCCCATTACTACAACAAAATACCAGAGTCAGCTCATTTCAAGTGAGAAGAGATTTATGTAGTTTTTAATTTTGGAGGTTCAAAAACATCATACCTGCATTGACTGCGTTCTGGTGTGGGTAGATGATGGTGACATGTCATGTCAGAAGCATGCATAGAAGCAAAGTGGTAATATCTATAATGGAAGTAGAGAGAAAGAGAAGACAGGTGAGGTCTCACAATCTCATTCAAGGACACACCTCCAGTGACTTAGGGATCTCCAACTTGTTCCCACCTTCTAAATGTTCCACTACCTCCCAGGTATGCCACCTGGGGTCCAAGCATTTAATGGTAATGGACTCTTGGGTGTCATTCAGACCTTATCCAAACCATAGTCCCCTTATGTAATTTTCATTAATCTGTAGAAATTGAAGATTGTCACCTTTGCAAGAATGCAAACTAAAGATGTTCACTTAACCCCCTCCTATATATGAGGTTTTGTTATGTCTTTAACAGAATATGTAAGATTATAGTGCCGTAATTATAGGGTTATATAAAAAAGTCTTAATCTTTTATTGGAAATAATTTTTTGCATGTTACATTATTTGATTACAGACATGAATTATGTAAATTGAAAATTTTAAACGTAGGGATAAGTAATGTCTTGATCTCCTTGCTCTATAGCCAGGAATGGTGGCACATGCCATTAATCCCAGTGCCTTGGGAGGCTGAGGCAGGAGAATGAGGTCAGTCTCAGCAACTTACCAAGGCCCTAAGCAACTCAGGGAGATCGTGTCTCTAAATAAAATATAATACAGGGCTGGGGATGTGACTCAGAGGTTAAGTGCCCATGAGTTCAATTCCCAGTACCAAAGAAACAACAACAACAACAACAAAAATAACCAGTCAACCCCCCCCCCAAAAAAAAAACAAAAACAAAAAAACTTGCTCTCCCTAGAAAGCTAATGCAGTCTTTAGTTTCCTCCTGTCCTTGCGTTTCTGATCTAAGGAGGCTCTTTGAGTAAATAAGATGATGTATAGCTGTTACCCCACCTAGAGAAAGGCTATCCTATTGTAGTTATGATTCTGATTGAGCAAAATGTTTTTACATTTTTACATACACGTAAATAGATGTATAAAGGAATAGGCATTCAGTGTGTTTTTGTTGTAGCAGGTGACTTTTTTTCCCTTTACTTATACTTAAATTGGTTTTGTTTCTCTCCTGAATGGACACTTCATGCCTGACTACTATTTTAATCACCTGTAGTAACTCAGTTCCTGAATTTAACATTAGAAATAAAAGTGTAGTTTTAATAAAAATGAGTGTAAACAATGCCACTTCACATATTAAATTCAAGTTTTATTTGATCCTTTGTTAAGTTTCCAGTAATTATTATTGAAATTACTATTACTTGAACCTCTCATAATGGGTTTTATAGTTTAATTTTATAAATCAAGATATTACTCATTTAAAAACCAGAAGTCATTATTTGAATATTAAGTAAGTAAAATTAAGTGAATTTTCAGACTGCATACATTGAGGTTCCCAAATAAGGAGTGATAGATATGCTATATCAAGACCTTTCTAATTTTAATGTATTATGGTCTGTCAGATTTTCCCTTTATATTGTGTGTTCTTTGTTCTTGATAAAAACCTTGTTGATCTCAATAAATTGTGCCTGCTTAATTTCCAAGAAACTTCTTTATTATCTTTTTCATACCATATAAGAGGCTAAGATAATTTTTTTCTATATGGATAGCTAGTAGAGTTGGCACCATTTATTGATGAGTCATCTTTTCTTCACCACACTTCAGTATCTTTTTGTTTTAAAGGTGGTGGTATATCTGAGGTCTATTTTCTGGACTCATTATTCTCTCCCATACCGCATCATTACTATGTTTTTGTAATAAATGTTGACATCTGATAGCTTTTGTCCTCCAGTGTTTTGCAAGATGGATTCGACTATTCTTGGACCTTTGCGTTTTCATTTGAGTTTTAGAATCAGCTTTAAATTATACAACTGTTTACAAAGCATGTCTAGAATTTTTATTAGAATTGCATTGCATTTATACATCAATTTGGGGACGACTGCATCCTGCTCAGGCAATGGGAATGGGATTCTCCTCTGTGGAATGGTTGGCTGAGAAATAAAAGCTAAGAAAAATAGAACGATGACAAAAACCTCAAGACACAGAAAATATTTTCAAAAAGTTGGGGTGATATGGGCAAGCCAACCAGCCAGATCAAGCTTCTAGACCAAAAGGCAAAATGGAGCCCATGTCTGCTTTATTTATATTGGGGGACATCAAAGGCCTTCCATAGAATGTTCTTCTCCAAAAAATGTTGAAGGTGGGCTGCCCAGTTCCCAATGGGTTGCGCCCATCTCTAGAGAGACCTTGAGAGATTTTCCTAGCTGAACAAAGATAAAGGTCATGTGCCTTGGGCAATCTATTGCATGGGAGAGCCAGGGATAGTCCCCAAGGTTAAACCTGAAATCTCCCTGACTACATGCCAAGATCCTCATGTGTTTTTTACAGGTGGTGTCCTGTAGTCTACCATATTGATTTTCTCATCCATGATTATGATATATTTATCTATTTATTTAGATGTTTTTAAATTTTTCTCAGTAATATTTTGAAGAGTTTTTGTATGTAGGACTCAGACATATTTGGCTAGATTTATTGTTAAATGTGTGATGTTATGATAGATAGTTCTATCTATAAGCAATTTATTTTTAAAATGACACTATCATTTATTTATATAGCTAACTTGGTATTCAGCAATCTATTTCTTACTTTCCAGTCTGTATACTTTTTTCCTGCCTTATTGTAATAGCAAGAAACTTCAGATGATAGGCAACTTCATTTCTTCTGGATCTTAGAGTATTTTGCCATTAATTATGATGTGTGTTATAAGCTTTTTATAGAGACCTTTTATCAGATGAAAATTTCCCTTTTAATATTTTAAGTGATTTTTAAAAATTATAAATATTTTATCAAATGTATTTGCTACATTTACTGAGAGGATTATGTGATTTTTCTCCTAATCTGTTAGTGAGGCAAATTACATTGATTTTATTTTAAAGTAGTCAAACTTTTACTTGTAGAAATAAACTGGATTTTGTCATTTATATTACTCTTTAATATGTTGCTTGAATTAGTTTGCTGATGTATTTTTGAATGTTTATGTTTATAGGAGGTGGTAGCCTGGAATTTTCTTTTCTTGTAATGTTTTTCTCAGTTTTTGGTATCAAGGTTGTACTGACGTAATAAAGTGAGTTGGGAAGTGAACTTAATTTTCTGTTCTCTGGAAGACAAGAATTGTAAGAAATGTAATGAAATGAAAGAATGTAATGTTAATCTTTCTATCAGAGTAGCATTATTTATTTTTTAAATGTTTGGATAATTCATAGGTAAAGCCACTTGGCTCTACAGATCTCTTTGTGGTATTGTTTTTAATTATGGGCTTAGTCTCATTAATAGATGTAGAAGTATTCCATTTTCTATTGCTTGTGTCAGTTGTTTCTCTAGGAATTTGTTTAAATTGGTATAAAATTATTTTAATATATTAATCCTATATTTTTAATGTCTAAAGGGTACCTGTATTTTACATATTAAATTTTTAATATCCTCCTGGTTCCTAATATTGGTGATCTGTGCCCTATCTTTTTTTCTAGATTTTATCACTTTCATTAGAATGTTTTCAAAAACCATCTTTTGGTTTTATGTAATTTCTTTATTATATGTTTGTTTTCTATTATATAGTTACTTTTCCTATCTTTATTAATTTTTTTTCAGGTTTCATATGCTCTTCTTTTCCATTGTTTCTTAAAAGGATACTTATTGATTTTTTAAAATTCTGTTTTGCTTTTAACACACATGCTCTTTAACTTACAGTGGGGTTACATCTTTATTAACCTGTCAGAAGTTGAAAAATATGCTGTGGTTTGAAAGTGTTCCCCAGAGGCCCAGGTATTAGAGACTTGGTCCCCAGCCCATGATGCTATTGGGAGGTGGGCCTATTGAGAAAAGTTAGATCACTGGGAGCACGCCCTTGAGGGAAATATTGGGTCTCTGGCTCCTTCCTCTTTTGCTTTCTGTTGCCATGAGGTGAACAGACCTCTTCTTCCATATGCTCCTCCCATGATGTATTGTGTCTCCACAGGCTCAAAGCTACAAGGCCAAGTGACCTTGGCCGAAACCTCTGAAACTGTATGCCAAAATCAGTCTTTCCTCCATTTAAGTTGATTATGTCAGGTATTTTGTCACAGTGACAGAAAATTGACTAACAGCTCATTACACCTAAGTTTTTAACCATCATAGCTTAGTAGTTCAGTGCCTTTTACCATATTTGTGACTTACCTGTGTGCTCATGTGTCTGGCTAGGAGCTGTGACTCTGCTGCTGCCCAGGCTCATTAGAGTACCCTATATATATTGCTAGCCCAGGAAAAGATCAAAATTTGAAGTGTGATTTCTCCTGAATGCCTATCACTTTAACAATATCCTCTAGTCAAAAAAACTCCAAGTTAAACCATTGTAAGTTGAGGACTATGTATATATTTAAGGATATCCTTTAGGAGAATCTTTGCTTGCCACATTGCAGGAATTAATATGCATTTTTTTTCTTTAGTTTAAAATATATTCTTGTTTTCATTGTGGTTTTCTCTTTGACTCTTGGATTATTTAGAGGTTTATTGCCTTTTGTTTTTGATTTCTAAATTACATTGATTAGAGAATATACTGAATGATTAATGTTATTGTTTGTATATGAGGTGTACCCCAGAACTCCTGTGTTGATGCAGGAATGTTCAGAGATAAAATGACTGGGATTGTGAGAGCTGTAACCTAATCTGGCAATCTTAGTTTGAATGGGCTAACTTGCTAACTGTAGGCAGA